TTTTGATAAAGTGAATGAGATTGAAGTCCCTGACGATGCATTTCAAATTGGAGATTCACATGATCCAGCCAGTATAAGGAAGCTGTCTTATGTACTAGATAGTTATAATAAATCTCAGGAGATGGTAACTTCGCTCTCTAGTGAAAATGAAGAACTGTTGGCAACCATTGATCAGCAGATTCTCGAAATTGAACATTTGAAAAAGAATGTTGAAAATCACTTGGCTGATGAGAAAGATTCTGAAAGGATGAATGTATTGTTAGAACTTGAATCAGGCTTGTGGAATATTGTTCGGAATCTGGTTGGCAATGAGATGACTGATGGTCGTGTAGTAGATCATCGGACAAGCCTACTTCCCTTGCTCGATAAACTGATTACAGCCAAAATACATGAATCTGAGAGTTTGAAGTCCAAAAATGAAGAACTCAGTGTCCAACTTCTTGGGACCCAAAAAGTTGTGGATGACTTGTCAAACAAGGTTAAGTTTCTAGAAAGTTCTAATCAAGCGGGAATTTTTCCACCAGAGATAAACCAGGAAAGAACTTCCACTTCCATAGCTTCCTTGTCTACTGCTCAGTCAGAGATATCGGAAATGCAAGACGCGGTAAATTTGATATATATATATATAGATATTAACTCCGAGATTTATATTTTTTAAGTGCTTCGTCGCCTTTTCTCAAGAAACTAGCCCTTGCCTACGTGAAGTTTTAAGCTTTAACAGGGTTAATCTGTAATCATTTGCTTAAATGCTCAATGAGTAAAAGTCCTTGATATGCTTACTCAAAAACATAGTTCTGAAGTACCCAAGTCCCTAGTTTTGTGATTTTATAGCTTGGATGGGGAATGGTTTCATGATAGTTACTAATAAAAAACTTGCAGGCAGCACTTGGTAAGAACAGCGATATTGTTCCGGTTCATTCGGCAGCTCACGTGCGTACTCTGAGGAAAGGTTCAAATGATCACCTTGCTATCAGTATTGATTCCGAATCTGAACGGTTTATGAATAATAAGGAATCTGATGAAGACAAAGGTAAATTATCATGACTGTGGCACATGATTAGATGGTCTGAGGTCTGGCAAATAATGGTCAACTTTATTTGCAGGTCGCACATTCAAGTCACTGAATAACTCTGGTTTGATTCCTAGACAAGGGAGGAGATTTGCAGATCGTGTTGATGGAATATGGTAGAAATGCTAATGCTGGCTACTTTATCTGTAGCTTGCTCATATTATATTGCACTATTATAAAAAGTAGCGTTTATGGTATTTTATTTTAAGAGAAATGATTTCTTGAAGTTGAGAGTTAAAGAGCATCTGGTAAAGAGGTCATATCGATCCAAGATAATACAATAAATCAGTTTTTGAATAATAAAAGAAAATACGAAATGCACTTGATTTTTAGTTATAAAGAATTTGGAAGTAGAGACGGATGAGGTAATAAGTGGCATTCCTGGATCTTAGACGATTATATCATTATACAATTGGACTGTGAGCCTAATTGACTTATTGAATGCTCGTTTGGATATCGCTTATGTTAATTTTTTGTTTATTTAGGGTATCTGGCAGTCGAGCTTTGATGAGTCATCCAAGAGGGAGGCTAGGCCTAATTGCTTATTGCCTCGTCCTGCATATTTGGTTGCTCGGTGCCATTTTGTGACATTTCACAAACATTCTAGATCTGAGGGACTACTGATGTTTTTCTTTTTTTTTTGCCCTTTTACAAAGTTGTACAATACATGAAGGTAGAAATTATCATTATTATTATTTATTTTTTTTCACTTTTTTGAACTTTCTGCAAATTGCTTGAGATGTAAATGTCTTACACTCATTTGAAGCATGCTATCAGTTAGAGTAGCAAAACTAAAAGCTACTGTATAGTAACTTCTGGTCATATGTGACTTAACAAGGAATTTGCAAAACCTTGATCTCACAGCTCTGTCTATATATATGATG